GTCAGGGGTGATCTGTTTTGTTTACCGAGTACTCCGTACTGTTTTTCTAGAACATCCTCCGACCCACTGATTGATCTCAACCTGACATCCCCACTTTGAACCGAATGGTTGGGAAATTGATTTACCGAGCGTTAGAGACATGTAAGCTAAGCGAGCTGTGATGGGCCAACGGAATACACAAGGTTGGTCCGGCTGGTCGGGAAAGTGGGGGGGGCTCTATAGAGAGATATTCATTTTGTAATGTGATTTTGATAACATAAGTCATAAGTACGTACCCCCTTTCCAGGATCTCCCCGGTATACGGAGTAGAGCACATGCTTACATGTGGAGTGAAGGTGAAGACGGAAATCTCCAATTTTGAAAGGTATGGTTATCAGATCAGATGACATAAAAATCCTCCCGAGGTCGGACAACTCTGCCTATCTGATTGATCTGATAACCGAGGTACTAGTAATGTATGTATGGTATTGTAATGGGACATATATTACAGTAATTCAGTACTTGTGTCGGCCCACCTCGGAACGTACAATTTTTTTTTTTCCCATTGCAGTTACAGAATCCTTGTAGAAACCCTGTACACCGTAAGTTGCAGGCTATTTAGGTCAATGGGTTAAACAATCGTCTGACATCTTACTCTAGCCATTCCGGACCAGTTAACAGCCGACCGGTACTTCCTCTCGGCTGTCAACGCCACCGAATACGTGTAAAGTACAAGTCCATCTTCATATGCACTGTCGATCGGAATGGATACGATAGCTCGAAATGGGGTCAGCGCCATATCCAGTAGTCGAGTCCTCATTAATGCTGACAATCAAGATCAACATCCGTCAAGATCCCATATATTCGAGCTCTTTATATGTAAAATTTCAATGCCGGAACCAACCGCGTAACATACCCGATGATAAAGAATGTGGCGAATCTGATTAAATCCCTGTTCTGTTTCCGATCAACGCTTGTGAGACCCTGTAATTCTCATTCTCATACCGTCATTTTCACTTTCCCGAATCTCTGTACGGAACTATCGTTCCGGCCATTCTTCGGGTCCACGCTCTCCTTCCTCATCCCACTCTTCTATTTCGTTTTCTATGCTATTCGTAGAAAGCAAATAAAAGGGGGGGCTCTACTACATTACTAGCATCACGTCTCGACTCATATACCCCGGTTTTTTCTTGTTGCGCCGACTTTGTGCAACTTTTCAGTGACTCCCAACACCTCTAAATTTCCTCATGGGTATGCAGAGAACGGTCAATCCCAACACAATCGTTGAAACTCACAATCTGATCTATCAATTTAGTTCACGCTGTTCAATCCACCATGCCGTCGGCGACTTATTCTCCAACAGGGTCTCGCCCCCGCAGAGGCACTTATCAAGAAATCCCAGTGTCCTCGACCTCCCACCCAGATAACCCAATTCCGGAAGAACCTCGAGGTGTGCGTTCGCTCTCAGTGACCGACACCACTTTCAATGTTATCTCCTCAGACTCATCCCAGGGCACTGTATCGAGCGGCTCGAATTCCCCAAATACCCCTCTGACACCACCCACCGAGTCCCAGTCGGAGGAAGAAAATGCAGAGGAAAAGGTCGGCAGTGGTCGGCAACGGCGACGAGCATCGACTGTCCTCATCTCACAGAACGCGGACGATATGCGAAGGGTGTTGGAAAATGTGGGCACAGCAGGCACTCAGAAGCTTCAATCCCTCTGCTGTGGTGGGGGTTGTTGCCGGGGACAGGCATTGCGTCCTGTAGATGGACCGATCTCAGGCTTCAATTCTATCGTTGGACCTATCGGCAACAAGGCTTTTGATAGCCTCAAGCTGAAGCTCGATCTCCTTACCGCGGACAGTGAGCTTTCCAACATTGTCCCGCTCCCAGAGAAGACCGTTTCGTTTAAGCCGATCCCCGCATCGGCGGTCGAAATGACCGTTGGCCCCGCAGACCACCCGCCGGAATTCGTGCAGCCGCATCCACCTTACCAGGTCTACCGTGCGCCTCTGTTCCACGCCCGTGAGTTGACAGGGCCTGGCGCCGAGAAGCGCACGTATCACTTTGATATCGATGTCACAGACTACCCCGCCGAAAGCGGGATGGTCGACTTCGTAGTCGGCGGCGCAATTGGCGTGTGTCCCAAGAACAAAGACTTCGAAGTCTCAGAGGTCCTCAACCTCCTAGGTGTGCCAAAGTCCATGCGCGACAAGAAAGTTCTCATGCGCACAACCAAGGGCCGTTGGCCGACAATCTGGGGCGACGACAAACCCCGCGAACTCATCACTACCCGTCGCGAAGTCCTAAGTTGGTGCTCTGACATCCAGAGTTACGCCCCAACAAAGCCACTCTTCCGCCTCCTCGCCGAGTACACAAGCGAGCCAAACGAGAAGAAAATCCTTGAATACCTCTCCTCAGCCCAAGGCCAAGGTGCCTTCTGCGACATTCGCACAAGCTCCTTTGTCTCCCTCACCCAACTCCTAACCGCCTTCCCAAGCTCCCAACCACCCCTCGACCACCTCCTCTCCGTCCTCAACACCCTCATGCCCCGTTTCTACTCCCTCTCCCAAGACCCCCAAATCTCCTGCCAATACAAAGGCACCGAATGCCGACGCCTAGTCGAAGTTGCCGTCACAGTCGCCGAATACAATGACTGGCGCGGCGGAACCCGCACAGGCGTAGGGTCCGGGTACCTGGAGTCCCTTGCGCGGCGAGCAATTGCCGCTGAAAAGACCGGCGAGAAAGTCGACATCCACATACCCATGTTCCGCGGACTGATGGCAAACCCGCTCGCGACGCGCTTTGCCTCCGATGGCCCGATGCTGCTCATCGGCGCGGGCGTTGGCATCGCGCCTTTCCGCGGCTTTGTGCAGCGCCGTCTTCAGTCGGCGAACTGCGCCAATAAGGTCTGGGTGCTGCAGGGTGTGCGTGACTCGCTCCTCGACGAGCTTTACTCGGGCGAGTGGGGCGTGCATGAAGATAAGGTGCGCACAGTTGTGCAGAGCCGTAGGGGCGAAAGTCGCTATGTGCAGGAGGAGGTTAGACACCAAGCTGATCTTGTTTGGTTTGTTATCAACTCGCTGGATGGTCGGGTCTTTGTTTGTGGTTCGGGCAAGGGTATGGGTGAAGGTGTTGAGGCTGCTCTTATTGAGGTTGCTATGGCCAAGGGTAATCTCAATGCTCAAGAGGCCGATATGTTCTGGCAGCGGAAGAAGGAGGCTGGACAGTACATTGCTGTAAGTTTTGATGTGTTTTGATGTTTTGGAGGGTTATGCTGACTTTATTTTAGGAAACTTGGTGATCACTTCAATTCTAGGTTGGCTTGACGCATTATGCCTTGATGGCTGAATGCGCATTACAATCATGCGCAAAAGACATTGTCGATCTCTTGTCTGTACATATTTTGTCTCATCCTGGCTGTATCTGTAAAAGCTCTGCGGTTGTTCTTTTGCTTCGAGCCCATGGCTAAACACACTCGACCAGGTCGTCGACTGGCCATTGTTTTGCTCTTTGCCTGATTCATGTGTTATTTAGCGTGGTGGTTATCTGTTCTCCCGTTTTCCTTATTTTACATTCTTTCTTGGTATCCCATTTTTTGTTTCGGGTTTATGGGCTGTTATCTTTCTATCTTCAATTGAATATGCATAGATCAATCTTTGTTTCTATTTCATTTTCGTCTTGGTGAATTCTTCACGCTCCGTCTCGGTATTGCCATGGTTTGTTTGCTGCTTTGGCTTGATTCCGTCTACTTCCGGGTAGCCTCGGGTCCCAACCCGAAGCACAAAAAAGACGACTTAGCTGGCCCCGAAATAGGACACTAGCCTATACAGAAGATCAAATATCTTTCTCAGATCGCTCATTCTTCCCACCGGCACGGCCATCCTCAGCTGACCATCTAAACCTATCATCCTTCCCCTACTTTACACCAACATACCCTCTACCTCTACAAAGATTTCATCGGTTCTCTCTTGGTTAACGAACAATCAGGACATCCGATTGTCGGTACAGCACTCATTTAATGATGGATGCCTAGAACCTTAGGTGTCAGGACACAACCTAGGGTAGGTAGGCTGCTTTCCAGTGATAGTTTCTTCCATGGCCATACATTCACTTCTCTGTCTTTCTCCTTGTGGTCTAATCAAGTCCTATGAGCCCTTCACGCTTCTCTCCGTCACCATTTCCCCGAATTGGATTCGTGAAAGCCATTCCCTTGTCATGTCTCCCACTAGCATTAGTACTTCCTTGTCGCTGGCTTCAACTATATATGGCATACCTCAAGCCCCGGCGTCACAGTTCAGTTTTGAGGATGATTATAGGCAGGCAGATCCTCCGGGGCCTAGAGAGTTGTACCGGATAGCTTCAAATTGCATGCTGTCGGCTTTTAATTTAAGCAAAGCCGCTAGGGGGCGCCAAGCATGCCGAGCATGTCAAGGACGACAACGTGGTGCGCACCGGCACGGACCGCCTGACAATTCCTAAATCGACCATTGCTATTAGTCCTGAATATGTGTTTGCGACCTTTATGTTCGGAGGACTCTGGTGCTTTTACGCCAGTCGTTCTTCTATCGAGCCAGTTGTGGACAATTGGTGTTCATGGCTCAATGACAGGATTCCCGGTGCTAGGGCACTGCCGAGACAGAGCAAGATATTCTTGCGACTTTGTGGACTTTCGTGAGCCGTGGTTCTGGTAATCTCCAATCGACCGGGTATCAGGCTAGCTTTTCGGAGTTCTAGGCAATGATGGCGCTCCGGGCAGGTGTCTCCTTTGTGGCTTATGACGGCACCCTCTTAACTGATGCAGCAGTCGTCTTGCAGGGAGTGGCCCAGATACCAAATCTAGTATATGATAGTATTACTAGTGACCAAAGGGGAGCTATGCTCTTTTTGGATTGCGATATGGGCAAAGCTTGGGCTGCTCGCTTTCTTGCAGCGGTCCGTTGGTATACCCACTGCTCTCCTAGTGCTATGGGATTAAGCACAATAGCGAGCGGCTTATATGCATACAGATAACAACGCCATGGACCTGGATACTGGAAATACGTCCGCCCACGGCTCATCTGCGCGCGGGGTCAAACGTCCAGCTTTGACTTGCCCGTCTGTACCCCCAGCTTTTGTATGGTACCCCCAGCTTTTGTATGATAGTGGGCTTGAAGGGCGCCATCCACCCCCGCTCCATACGTGCAATCACTGTCCACAGCCCATCTATGACTCCCCCATGGTTGGTGTTATCAACGCTGTGTCCTCAATCACCGAGTGTGAGACTTACGAGAAATGGCGCTCCCAAATTGATATATCCGTTGCCAGCGTGGATAGTTGGCTGCGCGACCTAGCAACTCGTGGTGAGAGCCATATCTTGCTCCGTGCCACAGTAGGAGCATTCCCAAGCTTCCTCGGTCTATTATCTAGCACCCTTACTGCTGTGCTGGAATATGATTGATCGCCTTATCCAAAAGTGAAAGATTTGATAGAGGTATTTTTATAGCTGAATAAACCAGTTGTCGGGTTGTTTTTAATACCGCTCTTCCTTCGTGCAATATAATAGTAAGAACAGCCTAATGTATAGCATATTAAACATCTCATCCATATCTTGGCAATAGGTCTCATGTGTTCCAGGTGCAGTGTCTATTATATGATACTTGAACTCCCAGGCCTCTTATTCTATCGTTGGATACTGATACGCTCGCAGTATCTTCTAATTAAGGTGAAATCCAGAAATAGAGTTAAAGCATCCAATGGTACATTCATGAACCATGGTACAACTCATCAAGGTTTTGTCATCCATGGATTATAAAATTATCTTCCATGGATGCTCATTTCCTTTGTTCCAGATAAAGAAGGTGATCTCGGGAAGGCCGAATGTGGGGCTGTTGTGTCGAGGATACCCACCTAGCAGATATGGATTCCGAATATATACCCTTCTAACCTTGGGACGCTAATCCACATTTCTTATCGTCCCTTCCTACCGAGCACAGGGACAACACGGAATAAACCCGGAGCTCCTGTCACACTGCAAAAACTCTAACTCCAACGCCCAGTGTTTCGTGTTCTGATCTCCTTTACTCCACCATTGAAGTCATCTGAAGTCATCGTTCAAGATTTGCGACTCGACCCGAGGTTCATCGCCCCAACCTCCTTGTAATTACTGATATCACAACACAAGACGGTCAACAATTCTGGGACAAACTTGAAGAAAATTCCGAGCATGAGAGCACACCTGTCGCTCCTCAACAAAGTGTTTCACCACTGGTCATAGAAGGAATCGAATGTCCGTATTTATTCTGCTGGGATTACATGGTGCTTGCTCCGGGTCAGATATCGTTGCTTATTTGTTTCTGAGTGGACAATAGGATCTCGAGATAGGAATTCAATTGCTTCTTTCTTATGCTCCAACCTAGAGGGCTTGGTGATATCATTGATGAATTTGATCAGACTAAGCGCGAGATATATCAGTCATGTCGCAGGGTTCAATAACTGCGCTCAATGTTAAATGCAACCCCTGTTGGGATGTATTTGCACTTTCATTCGGCGTCTAGTGCAAACGGAAACTTCAAAGATGTGAAAGGTCATATTTGAAGTGGACGGTCTCTTTGTCGCTACTTGCTACTCGTACATGACCTTCCGGTTCGTAAAAGCGAGTGTGATTGAGAAAGGGTATAGAAGGGTATATGCTTGCTTATATTACATATCGTATGCAATGGATACTTCTGATCACTTCCAAGATCTTTAGAAGGTATCCTTGTCTACTGATGCAATGTTGACCAGACACGCAGCTTGTTAGGGGTCTTTCCTAGATGAGGTTGGAGCCATGCCTCCACTCACAAATTTTACAATATACAGTATGGGAGGTAGACATCTCACATGGAACCACGGTCTTTCCTAATTGGGCGACCTGACGTTAGAAGTGGGCTCTGAAGTTAGCCAACAGGGGTAGCCAAGCTCTAATCGAGCAGAAAGCAACAAAGAAACAAAAGTACTATTGACACGGTCTCTAGCGCCGAGTCAGGTACTAATGCATAGTTTACCGAGTCATCACTCGGTCTCCCATTGCTACACTTTTACCATCCAACGAGTCATGTCACTCCATGGGGACTGAATAGGTATTCTATTCCCAGGCCTACCTAACCTGTTGAAGAAAGAGAAGCCTAACACCCACGTCATATTTAAAAAAGAAACTAAATGTGAAAAAATAATGAGGATTAATCGGACCAATAGAGAAAAGAGTCTGTAAAATTATTTCACATCGCGGTGAGGGATTGGTGGCCTTGTCATGAACTATATGCTTGGCACACCTAAATCATGCATGAACTACTCCTGTGACACAAGTCTATATGTGGTTTTGGGCAGCCAAGTAAGCAAACAAATCGGTTTGTCTAGATTCCCCCCACGTACTCCATATTCCGTACTTGGAAGCCATGCACCTCTCAACGGTCTAGACATTTTAGTGAGGTCTGTTTTATGTAGTGAGCCCCCTTTGGACGCCTGAGGTTGCATTGTTGTGTTACCGTGCTATGGAGTACTTGTAGGTACTATGTACTATACCGCTCCTCATCATTGTATTTTCTTTCCCAATCGTGTTTTTCTGATACCCACATGGATATAAGAAAAAATAATAAATAATCGAGCAGTTCAAGGGAGACTACTCTAGAAGGAATTCTTATAATAGAAGCTCAAATGTCAGAATAATGAAAATAAGGTTAGACACTCAAAATTGGAGAAATAAAATATAAAATAAAAAGTATAAAAAGTATAAAAATAAAAAAATAAAAATAAAAGTAAAATCCCCCGGTAGACCCAAGTACCGGGAAACGGAGATGACAAATAATGCATGCATCCATGGTTCAATATGTATTCCACCGATCTCAAGTAATTCCTCCGACGCTAGTGTATATCCAAAAGTGCATGCAAGAGGAGAGAAGATGGCTGTTTTACCCCTCTCTATTTTCTGGCTTTGAAGGCCTTAGGACTTTTTGGGACCTGTCATTTTCCCAGGGACGATCCTGGTTGCCTGCGAGATCCGATGATCTGCATTCCCTAATGCACGATCTCGGATATCTTGTGGCCTGGTGGCATGGCAGGTATGACGATCAGCTAGATTTGCTATTTCTTTTATTTTTCTCTCTTTTTTTCAAAAAAAAAAATTTCTTTTTAGCTTATGAGTACGTCGGTCTAACATTTTCGTCAAATAACTTTAAAGTTCCGGCTTTTCAAGATCTCTCTAGAATAGTCTCCAACGCTTCGAGGCTAGTTCCTCCGATCGGAAATAAAATAAAAATTTGAAAGGGATTTTCCTTTTTGATGGGTGGATCGAATCTTAGCTTGAATGCAATACGAGCCTAAAGGACATACCTTAGGGCCCGAGGTGACTGCCGCGTTCAAATCCATTAAACTTCCAAGTAAATAGACTCGGCTGTCAGCTGAAGACGGGTTATTATAGGGATTATAGAGCTATAAGGGGAAAGACAACAATTCCAATGTAATATCCTGGCACTTTTTTTTTTCTCTTAGTACATTGTGCTATATAGGATTCACTAGGAACCTATCCAATCACACACAAAAAATTAAGAAATAGGAACTCCATTGTTCCAGCTTGATTGGCAGAGTGGCAATGGGATCACACTCGGCTTACATTACAATCTCCAGACGGCCATTATTAAATTGTCAGAATGTGACTAGTTTCCAGAGCGGGTCTGTTAGTGTGATGTGCGTCGTGTCAAGCTGAGAAACTGCTCCAGAACATAGTGCACCAGATTACATCTGGATGCGATACGCGAGGCAAAGATCCTTAGCGCAAATCCCTTTACGACCGGTGACATTTTTTAAACGAGATAAAATGCAGACACACCTGAGAGATATCATATGCGAGCTTGTCCAATCAAGTCACCAGCCACAAATTCACCCGACTCGGTGCATAACGTGTGAGAAGGGGTAAAAGGACAAAGCCAAAGCGGGTTCTCCGGGTGATCCTTGATCTGACGTTCGGAGACAGAAAAAAAAAAAAGGCAGACGCCACAAGCTCTCGAAGAAAGTGGAGATACAAATTGAAGAACCCCTAGATCCCTGTAAACCAATACCCCCCCCCCTCTCTCTTTCCGTCGATCACCGTGCTCGATCGATCGAGCCGAGGCGTCATTTCTATGATATCTCATTCGTTCAAATAAAATCCAGAATTCTGTCTTTACTATCCGGGTTAAGCTCCCCTCGGAACACGATCTTTTTGGAACCAGTGACAACTCTCCTTGGGAACGGCGATCTTTTCCTTCGATTCTAAAAGATCCCAATTTGGACTTTTATTATTATTATTTAACTACAATATAGACTAAAGATCTCGGGTTATATCTTTGGATCTTGGATTCACAACACTTGTCTTTCCAAGGTTTCCTCCATAGTGAAGATTTCTTGCCCTTTTTTATTTTTTATTTTCTCACGAACTACCCAGATCCCCAGAAAAAGCAATTAGAATGTGATTTGATTTTAATATATAATTAATTACAAGGTAGTTAATTAACTTTAGCCTGACTCAGGCACATTATGACAGAATTCTCCCCTCCTTACTCCTGTGGCTGTCGGACATCCCCTCTCTAACCTTTCTTTATTTCTTTTTCTTTTATACATTTGGAGTACTTTCATGTATCTCATTTTGGACCTCAGAATATCTCTTTTTTTGGGGTATTAACTTTGCTTGTAAGCACTGGCATGGGATCCCCGATTTTGACGTACACTAGTGAACCACACTTATTTCCTTTTTTTTCCTATTTTAAATTCTTTTTTTTTTTCAATTCCTTTACTCCGAAACTGCCAATCAAAACTCCAAACCCCCTAAAATACAATATATGGAACCAAGTAGTTCGTGAGATCCGCTACAGAGACTTAACCTTAAGCCCCCTTCTGTGCCCTTGACACGGCCTCGGACTGTATCCACCACACGATCGTCATTTTTCGGCCCCTGTTCATGCTTTTCCATGGACATGTAACAGCTGGATATCTCTTTTATTTTTTATTTATTTAATTAATTTACATATTGGGGCGACTTTTTTTTGGTTGAAATAATGTACGGGGCCCTGCATTGGAAACTGCATTTCCATCTTTGCCCTCATTCCCCAACCTTGCATATAATCTTGGCCTTTCTCTTTTTTTTCCTTACCATGTCAACGTAAAATCAGCCTACTTTCCCTAGTGAGTGCTTCTTTGGATACTTTCATCCCCTTCCCTTTTATACCTTTATCCGGAATCTTGATCTTCGACAAATACTCCCGATAGTCGCTGACTGTCGAGTATAGATCTATTCTGTAATACATTGTGAAACTCTTTGACATTTGTTTCCTCGTCCCTCCCCAAATACCTTGTCTATGTCACAGTCCCACGAGGTAAACGAAGATACCGATATGGCTATTTCGTATACAACCCAGTCGGCAACCGGACACCCTCACCAAACCCTCCCCTCATTCCGCGAGGTAAGACACAAACCCCCGAAATCTCTTGGAGAAATACAACCTGAACTCAATATCTAACATCTCGCAGCTTCTTCCCCCCCCACCTCCACGATGAAATTGAATCAATCTCCCCATTCTACACCACAGCCCGCCACTCACAAGACCGCCCACCCTCAGGCCACGATGTGGCCGACCCCCGCTCAATCCCATACGGCAATCAATCCACCAACATGCCCTACGAATCCCGCCGTGAATACACAGTCTCCCGCGGGGCAGAACATCAACCCCGCATGCCAGATCCAGGCCACCATCACATGCATCTATCCGAGAACGCATCCCGCGGTCCCAGTCCAATTCTCCCCCCAATCCGCGACTTGGATTCTATGCCCGGCCGGGCAATGAACCCCTCGAGCAAAGGGTATTCCGAGCGGCCCCCACGCTCCGACCCTTTCGTCGCGCAGGAATATCGCCAACCCGGACCGTCAGCAGCGATGTCCGCTGATTCTCACCCCCGCGGCGAGCACTTCGCACCCATCATGCACCCTCAGTCACCGTATGGACATCCTCCCATCGGGTATGCGGATGAGCAGATGTCGCCCCAGGTGATGGGGCATGGGCAGGGGAATTTTGGGATTATGGGCGATCCGATAGATCCCAAGACGAAGCGGAGACGGGGGAACTTGCCTAAGCCTGTGACTGATATCTTGCGGGCTTGGTTCCATGAGCATCTCGATCACCCTTATCCTAGTGAGGAGGATAAGCAGATGTTTATGACGAGAACGGGGCTTTCGATTAGCCAGGTGAGTACTTATACCCGGCAATTGGGTTGTGTGATTTTTGCTAATATTTCTCTATACAGATTAGTAACTGGTTTATCAATGCTCGGAGACGACAACTTCCTGCGCTACGCAATCAAATGCGCAGTGGTGCAGATACGGAGTCTCAACGACAGTCGCCCTTTAGTGATGTTGATGGATCGGAGCACCTGCCCTCTCCTCATCATTAGAGCGATGAACCTGGACCTGGAGGTTTGGGTTTAATAACGGCCTTTTTTTTTCTATTTCTGTTTCTTTTTGAACGTTACACGGCATTCGCAACGTCAGCGTTTTATTCACTTTACGACTGGGAGGCTTTATATTATTTCAACCTACCATTTACGAATCACGGGGTTGAAGATACGGCGAGCTCGATAGACTGGCATCTTTTTCTTTTTCTGTTTCATTTTTCTTTTTTTTTTCTCGCCTTCCAGTTCTCTGGACCTCACTCTACATGTCGCATTGCCGTCCGGTACGGATACTTTGGTCCGACAATACATTTTGATACCCTTTCTCTTTGGTCGCGTTTACCAAGCGGAAACTTATTTTGTTGGAAATCAAGCAAAAGGGGTATGCGACAAATTATGGCATTGGGAATCCCATCGAATCATTTCTGTGATTTACTCTACTTTGTTTGTTCTTTTCTCTCTTGTTGCACCGCATTTCCATTGTATTGAATGCCCTTGGACAAAACCAGCGAAGATTGCATTACTAGGTGTTTAGAGGAAACCTTCGTCTTTCAAATGTGCACACTTTTATTCCATTTTATTTTCTGGCTCTGATAATATCTCTACTTTGTATAAGCATCCGAATCTCAAATGTCACGGAGATACGGAGTAAGCAGATCTCAGCTGCCCACGCAACCCGTCTCCACTCCGCCTCCATGGACACTAACCTATGTTCTTGCTCGCATCCCGCGGCAACGTGGACCTGAACTTACAAGTGGCTCACCCTTTTTTTCTTTCTTGGCGATGATGGTCTCTACAGTCTTGCAAGTATTCATGCCCTTACAATATAGATACCAGGCATATGTGGATCTTTGCCATATTTTTGTCCATTTCCTTACAGACCCTGAAAATCACGACATTTTAGATTTGGGGAGAAAGACTAAGGTTTGGACTGTCAATTCCAAATTGATAGACCCGTAAACTAGTGGATAATTCTATACGGAGTACTCCACTGGACATATGTCAAGATCGACCCCAATTTTGACTTTTTGATTTTTCATGACGTCGAGTTACCAAACATTCAACCTCAATCCTACCACGGTCTTTGTTCGTAAGCTTTCTTAGAGTTTGGTCCGGTTAGGATCTACTTTAATTATAAGCATTGCATTGCATTGAATATTAAGTTTTTGCTCAAGTCACAGAACTCATTATTTTGTTCTGTTCATCCTCTAAGATTTTTGAAATCCCGGCGTGAACTGACAGCTGTATGAATGACTTAGACTTCAACTCTTCGGCCTCTGCGTTGGAGTACCGTGGATTTCCATAAATCTACAAATCTAAAAAAAAAAAAAAAGCCCACATCTCCACAGGAGCCACTTTGGAACCATGGAACTTTTTATTTTACGATTTACTAGTGTACCACGTGAGCTCCAGATTCAATCTGATCTCCGTTCGGGGCTTTTCTGCCTTGACAGCCATTAATTTATCTACTTAACACTTAATTTCGATGTGGAGTTGAGCATATTAATTAAACATCTATAACGGATGGTGATACGTTGACCCATATATGGCTTATTGTGAAATATTATTATCTGCCTCTTTGGGGAATTCCTTTGTTCCTTCTCAGCCCTCCCAGATCCTGTTCCAATTCCGAAACATATCCGAATCGAGTGCGGTTGGCAACTGAGACAGGTGGAATTTTCTTTGAATCATATCACATATTGTACTTGAATAGAGGGATCTGTTGGAGAGGTGCTACTATTCGCACTGTTTTTTTTTTTTTAACGATTTTCCCGAGATATCCCCTGAAGACACATCATGGGGTACTGACATGACCCTAAAAATTTTGACTGCAGATCTTAGGCTTCGGCCATCTTGCCGAGTAGAATTGAATCATTTGCCGTGGTGGGTACAATATACGATGTAGGTTCTACACCATACCGCTTATAGTACATATCTTCAAATTTGAGACTCCAGTGAGGGGACTGCAATCCACTTGGTTGAACTCATATTGTAAAAGTGATATCCAACGCGCATTCAATGAACAAAAAAAACAAAAAAACCAGGATTAAGTTGCAGTTACATCTATCTACTCCGAAATTCTACCGTAAAGAAGTAAACATACATACCTAGAACGCACGATGTACCACGATAGCATAAAAAGCAAAATCAAAAAAAAGTAAGCACCTCATGCCTCTACCCATACCCTCAATATACAGCATACAGGATATGTACGAACAGGGGGTAAACCCGTACCCAAGTCCCACATACTCCGTAGGGGGAGCGGATATGCAAGCCACCAGCACAACCCCCGACATCTAGGATCTCCGGCGCCCACGACTGGCCGATCTAAAAAGCAAAAACGCACCCAACAAAAGTCGTGCAGCGTGCATACAACGTCCAGCTTCTGGTCGAGCTTGATCGAATCACAGCCCATGGAAATCTTCACCCCCGCCCTTACCGTTATAGCTTCGCAACCCTGTCTCTGTCGCTTGTGAACTAATCCAAGACAAAAACCTCAACCAAACCCCGGTTCTGCGCCCTACGATGGGACTCCCAATCCGTGTCCTGTCCACCCCCACCTCCCCACTCAGCCATTCAGTATCCAGATACGTGCATCCGACCCATCACATAGCGGTGAAATCGGCATCTGACACTTCGTTGTTGTGCAAGGGCAGATATGTACATTTGGGGGTATGTTAGGTAAGTACTGTGTGCATTTGCTCCGTACTCCGTACGTCGTACAGGTTATGTTGGGTGTTACGTGTACATGCGTGCGTTTTCCCTCCTGTGTTTGTATGACATGGACGTTTAGCCTCGTTCTGGGACGTGCGTGTCGATCACAACGTCCCTGCTTGGTGAGAGGGGAGGTGTGGGCTCTCTGTTTCTATCGGAGGTGTCAGCTGCGGGATTTGTGAGCTGTCTCATGTCAGGATTTGGGTTGTGACCGCGTGTAGATCGATGGGTGGTTGAGTCTCACCGTATACTCCGGAGGACAACGGAAGACTTACATATGTTGTGCTCCGTACAACGTATGTAGTCTGTACATATTTATGAATAATTGCATCGGAATACGGAGTACGCGGAGCTGTATAATATCTATGACATGGTCGGATCCACATATTAGTTTTCAGTCCTCGCGTTGAAGTGGGAATTGAAATTGAAACACTTGGCCTGCTTGACCTTAGATCTAATGTAATATTATTTGTTGATAATTCATTTTTAGATGTTCCGCTACAAGCCACCTACCACGATCTCGGTTCGGTCACGTCTAAGCCTCCCACAAACTATTGAATCTTGCCGTATTAATTCCAGATGAATGATCGACGGACCCACCGTTCGACACCCAATATGCACGAGAATCAATAGCGCCGATTAGCCTGTCCGCGGTTGCATTTTTGACATTTGCGCTCTCACTTATTAGAGATCTTCGCCCGGGGGTTTGTTTATTTGCGGACTAGCGTTATACTTTGTAGACGAGATAGCCGCTTATACTCTTTTTTTTTTCAACTACAACACAATATATACAGACTGCCCGTTCAATGCTGTACGTAAGGTGTGGGTTTGCGGACCGTGGGTGTGCTTGTGGGTTGGTTCTGGGGGAATTTGGGACGCTTGTGTACCTCTCAGAAACAGGGTAGGCGCTGATGATTCATTCGTAACCAGCGATTACAGATTATATGACTCGCGACGTTTTGAATGAATTCCATTAATGATATGTCTAGTTACGTAGATAGGCTTCACGATTATGTTGCATGTGTATATCATACCAGCCGCTTGTCTGTTGATTGACCAATCCCAGGCAGTTATACGCGGCTATGTACATTAAAGCGCTCTTGAAAATGATACATCTATGGTATCAAGTCACATCCCTATCTGTATCACGATCCTCTCCTGGCCAAAAACTTAAGCAAGGGTGGAATGCACGGAAATGCGTCAGCTACTCTTTGTGCATGGAATACTTATAACCTAGATCACCAAACGGTGCGTCGTGTTACATAAGAAGTGTCACGAAGAAGAGCAAAAAAGGGAGAATATATGAGATGTCAGGCAGATCTGTCCGTCAATGCATACCACTTCGCGGATATCTAGGAGCTGCCGCATCTCATTCGGGCACGCTAATGCACACTTGTTTGTGATTAGCGTCAGGCTGCCCTGCTATGTACATACAATATACGCATGGCGTTTGACCTAACTTCTAGTGGATGGATCTATTCTAGTGATTTGCCTATCTAAGTAACTTGGTCCGTAGGCGCATTAGTCTGAGTAATATCCGACAATTAGGCTATCTGCTTTTGCAAGGGTTGCTAGTTTATATTGTGCCGAGACACAATCTATACTTCTCATTGTTCTTTGTGGTACGATCGTGATATATTCTATGTTTGGAGTCAGGACTCGAATCTGGTGGACTTTTTTTTGGTCTTGCGTTTGCTACGAAAATGTCAATATGTAATCTCCGAGGCTATTGGAGATTATTTATTCATCCAGTTTCTTTGTATGTCTTGCTACGCCCCGGCTACTAGATATGTGGAAATTCATTACTTTAGAAAAACCGACCATCACCATTTAACTTGTGATTGTCTTTCTCGAGGGCTATTTTCGAACATGGTTCCTCTGGCTATGTGATTCGGGCTCATCGTACCTTACTATCTCTCCGTTAGCATTCCCGGTTTCTCTCGTAGTGCTGCAGAATGGTCGTACTGTTCCCCTTCCCTGAAGCTAAGGTTTCTTTTACAACTGCATGTTGAACAGATATACCTCGAGCAACCCGGCACACGACATGACACTGTGCGACATATGAGAAGAAAAAAAACTCGTATATGCCCTTCGGCTGGCATTGTGTGATGCCCAACTAGGGTTCAATGTTTCCTAGGCAGGTCTAAACTTTCGCTGCACTCGTATGTGATCATTGCGAATTTGGGTTTTGTTCTCACTGTCTTTTATTCCTACACTCAGACAATAACCTTTCCCACACTTTTATCATGACATTGATTCCCAGCTGTTCGAAACTGGAATACGTAGCA